GAGATCCCGAGTGGGGCTCCTCTGGTCCAGGAGCTCACAGGGTAGCTGCTGGCCACTGCCGGGCACGCTTGGAGCAAGACTGAAACGGTGCTGGCACATGCTCTACCTGCCCTCTGGATGCATTGCCGACCTGACGCTCACCCTTTACGCTCGTCTTTCACTTATAAATGTGCATACAACAAACATATCATCATTGGCCATGACAGTTATTAGGACAGTTATAAATGTGAGCAGACTGTAACCAAAACACGAGGCCTGGGAGTTTGCAGAGAGCTTGAAACAATAGCTGTCGGGTGAGGAGCGTCCCATTTATCTGCACAATGTTAACTCAGACGTCCAATGACAGGCATGTACATGTCAAAAGTCGTTAGCTGCTTCACTGGTAATTTGAGAACTGAGCACATGGGGCATTGCATCGTTCCGCACCACTCGCTGTGAGTGATATCTCCTCTTGATACCTCTGTGGCAGCATTTGGGAGGCACCAAATTATCTTTTGTGAAGAAAAAGCTATGTGAGGGCATTCCCCCTGTCACAGTGGTGCAAACTCAAGTATCTTAGCAAAGTCCAGGAGGCTTCCACAATTGTATCTCTAGTATAAGCACAATTTATCACACGGGAAGATTCTCTTGAAGACTCATTTTGCAGAGATATGAGAGTAGCACAGCTTCTCCAAACAATTTAACTTACAATCTAAAGAAAAATTAAAGAAAATTAGAAGTTTCTTAATATGATATCTGCTTCCTTTGGTCAATGTGGCCTCCATTTCCAGGTTTTTATGAGGAACACAACCTCTAAAAAGTCCTTGCTCCATTTTCACAGAATTGCAATTTCTTTAAAAGTTGTCCAATTGTTCAATATTTTAAAAAGAAAAATGTGTATATTGCCAATGGATACACAGATAATAATAATATCAAACAACTAATTTTCTGCAAAAAAAGTGTTTCTAGAAAGTACTTTCCTTTTTTCCACTTCTGTAATCACAGCTCGGCATAACACAGATTGAGTATTTTGACATGATTGTGGTAAATGAACCCCAAAATTTGTTGCTGCTATTTCTAAGAGGGAGTGGGTTTTTGTCTGCTTTTATTTTTAAGTCATCCACAACATTACAGTTGCTGAACAGTTTTTTATACAGAGAATCAACAGGGCATCACAGGGAGTCAAAAGTGATGGCAACCACAGGGAGCACGGCTAAAGACTGTATCCCAGCTACTGACACAAGAGGATACAAGAAGCTGTATCCCAGCTACTGACACAAGAGGATATAAGAAGAGCAGCGCCCAACTCTTATGCACATGTGCACAAGCACGCACTCACTCCTCTCCAAGAGCTGGCTGTGTTCCCAGCTCCCAGACCTATGCTTTTCCCACTCTAGTCTCTGCCTCTGCTTTCTGGAGTCAGGGGATTCAGCCTTATTTATGCTCATGTTGCTCCAGCTGTTCCTTTGCAGAAGTCACTAAGTGGATTTGTTTGGAATTCAGACTTATTTCCAAAAAGCAGGCAGTTTCTGTTCATCAGAACAGAGTGACGGTTCATCAACAAGTGACGGCTGCACCAGAAAACAAAAACCAAACCTCAGGGGTGTTTTCAGTCCTTTTCCTGAGCCGGCACATGTTCTGACCCACCCCTGTTGCCTGCAGAAGCACCTCAGCCTCTAAAATACTGCTGCATGCAGCCTTGCTTCCTGTTTCAGCTGCCTTTGGCGATAATCGGACTATGGTCGTTCCCAGCAATGGACTTGGTCATTGGCCAGCGGCCCAAACTGGTGCACGCCACTCACTCAGCACATCAGCAGGAATGAACAAAGCACAAGCTGGGAGCAGGAGGTTCAGGTCTCTGCAGCCCTATGTCTTCATCTAACACAGTGAATGAGGATTAGTGCCATTTCATGAACCACGTTTTCAGGGAATGGGGAGGAACAGAAGCCCCAGTTCAGTAGCACTGTTTTTGTCCCAGCTCTCGATCACAAATCATAAAGTCCTGGTGGAAAGAGATTTTCACCCCTTAAAACTTCAAGCACTGAAACAGGGACAATCCGGTAGGGAACACCCTGGAAGCAAAAGGCGGGATCCCCTTGTAACAGTCCAGATGTGCTTGCATCAGGACTGGAAATACACACTGAATAAATGGTAAATTGTGAATGAACAGGGACACAGAGGGGACACTCCATGCCTCTGTCCCACTGCCTGAGCATCCTCTTAAGCAAGAAAAATCAAAAGGCAAGGAGGATTATTACTGAGTTCAGGATGCAGGAAAATGCACAGCAACATCTTCTGCTCCTGTCATAGTAGCTGAACCTCATTTGCTATTGCTGCTTTGCCTAATCACCTAAACCGTGATAAAAGAGCCAGTGAAATCTTTTGCACAGACCAAGACTGTATACGTGCATACTGTAGCCTACTACTTTCCTTTTGTCCAGATCTTCCACAAAAGCAGAACAACTGTCAGCAAGAAAAAAAAAAGGCAACTGTAAAAAAATCAATTTTTAGAAAGAACGTAGCATGATGCCATTTTCCTATATGGCAACTGGTATCCCATGTGGAGTCTCAAACAATAGCCAGCCTGGCAGGGGGTGGAGTAAGAAGACGACTTGGGGGAAAAAAATTATATAGATATATTCCCTGCTGGCCCTCACCCTCCATTTCCTCTTGGATTTCTTTGTGACTGCACTGAAAGGGGTCAATAGCTCCCAGCTTGAGAAATGCAGCTTTTGAAAGGACTATCACCAGCATCTGTATTTAAAGCATGCCTTTTCCTTCACAGCCCCCCCCCAGCTAATGCAGTGCTTTTAAAAAGTGAGCAGCAAGATAAACTTTCAGGGAAAAGAAAAAGGGAAGAGTAGAGGAGAAACGGTATCTTTCTGCTTTGGTTTACTGACACTTTCACTGGAAAAAAGCGTGACTGGCAGAGCAGGGACAAGGAACATAAGCTGCAGATGATCTAAAGCGCTACGGATCGTTACACCTTGCTTCAGTCACCACCTCCCCATCCTTTAAAGTAAGCTACAAAACCACATGAAGCAGCCAAGCACCAAGCTGGAAAAGAATTTCAACTGATTAAAAACAATGGGCAAATTAGCACTGGACTCATTGAACACATCAAAGCTTTGTAACTCAATCTTCAGCATTTAAGAAATTCTGATCTGACAAACACAGGCAATCTAGTCAAATTTTAATAGGCTTAATTAACTTATCTTGATAATGAAACACTGGACCAGTGGCTAAGTTTACATTTAGGCTTTCTATTTGCAGAAGTACTCCAGAAAAGCTATGGCATGTTAGAGCCAGGGATTTATTGGGAGGGAGGAGGAACAGGATTGTAACCTTCTCTTCTAGTGCCACTGGATGCGGCCCATGTGGAAGGCTGGCACGTGCACAGTTTTTCAGGACCCCTGGCCCCGCTTCACGTTGCAGCCTCATTCAAACATCCAACAGCAATTATATTGCAGTTGCTTTCTGTATTAGGATGTGTTTTTTAATTCACTTTAGAAGTGGATGAATGCAAACACACAAAGAGTTTGTACAGATCACCTGTTGCTGTAGTTTCCAGGTGTAAACAGGTCGAAACTCCACCCATGTGCTCTAGAAACTGAGTAACAGTTCCCACTACTAAAACGTTTCCAAATTTAAGAAGCAAAATGGGCAAAACGTCACAGAAGGAAGCTCTACTTTGTGTTGAATGGAGACAATCTAAATAAGACCAGCTATGATTTTCCAGCTCCAATTTATTTGACTTTATATTCATCTGGCTATCTGACTGGAGCCTTTCAGTAAACTTCAGCAGAATCCCACAATATTCATCTAAGACAGTCCTGAAATTCACAGATGGAAGGTGCAGTGGTACCTCCGGCAGCACCACACACAGCAAAAAGCTATTTCATGTAGTTCCTACCAAATTGTCCGAGAGAGAAGTCAAAAATGAGGCCAGCGAATGCTCCAGAAACAGAGAAGTAAATTGCCTCTGAGAGTCTCTAGCACGAGCAGCATATGACTTTGCATTTCACTTTAGTTTCCAATCACACTATCTTTCTCACAGGCATTCAAATACATTAGTCTGTGCCTTATCAGATCCTGAATTACTATTGTAGAAAAGCTCCTGCGAGTCTGAGAACTCTGTAGTTCAGAGACATTTATGGGGCTGTAATGAGTACTGACAGATAAGCCACACTCATGCATACGCGCTTGCAACTGATGTCTGGTTTTACACAATACAGCCCTAAGCCTTCATAATACAGCATAGGAAACAGAATCCTCCCATCGCCTACTACTAATTGCATCTACAGTGGTCAGGGGTTGAAAGAGAAGTAAGCAGATTAATTCTATTAGACTGCGCAATAGTATCCCAAGGGGACAAGGGAAAATCCCATCATTTAAAACAGGACTGGTAGACACTGCTGGGAACGATGTTACATACTAGTAGGGGATTAAGGGTTTGGACTAAAGGGCCTCATCTTTTCTAGATCTGGTTTCCATGAGTCATTGCGATTAGAACTGCAGGGCTTTTCTGTTTGGGTTTTTTTCACTTTTGGATGACCTGAAACATCTTGCCCAATTGAAAACTAAATTATTTAATTAATTTCTTACTTAACCCGTTCCCCCCAACATACACTTCTTCATTCCTTTTCTTAAAAAGCTTTCTGTTTAAATTCAGGTTATTTTCAATATAAAATTATTTTAGAACAAGAGGTCTAAGTATTGTTTTATTAATACCTCATCTGTAACGTTTTTATTTTTTCAGCATACTCCTCCCACACTTTTAGCCTATATTTATCTCAACTATGTGAGCAGTCTTGATCCTCTGAAAGTACATTTTTGCTGAAAAACATTCCCCGTGCTATAAATACAACGTAAGATTTCACCCCTACAGATATGTCAGGCAGAGGTGACAAAGCCCCTCTTGAGCCAAACTGAATGGAAAAAATCCTCTGCTCAGTCCACTGCAGCAAGGCCAGAGCCCAGCAGCAGCAGAGCCTGAGCATTAGGAGCGCTGTCTGCCTTACCTGCGCACTGCTTTGAGAGGACAGGCCTTCAGAGAAATACTTGTTCTCCTCAAAAAGTCAGGCCGTACTAAACATGCATCAGCCAGGGTCCTTGTTTCAGGTCCCTAGCACCGTGATCCAGGCTGGTCAACCTGTCAGAAACAGCAATGACAAATCCGTAAGACACACACCTCCGTACTGGGCCTGAGGAGAAGACCGTGACCTTGCTTTACTCACTTCTTCCCACTTAGCTAAAGATAACTCCTTCTTGCACATCTGAAGGAGGTGAGGGGAAGCATCTGGCAGAGACCCTGAAGACCTTGGCAAGGCCTGGACTGAAGGCAAAATCTTCCTCCTTACTTTCCAGTCCATTTAGACTGGACAGAAAAGGGCTTTGACCAGAAGGCAGGAGGAGGAACAGGACTATTTCCAGAAGAGTAAGAGAGGAGCAACAGAATTGCTCTGCATCTTCCCCTCCTGCTCCCCTGTGCAGCAGCAGAGAGTCACCAGGGAAAAGGAGAGGACAGGAACACCAGGAAGAGATGCTGTGCATCCCCCGAAGGCAAGTCCCAGAATAGAGGATGGAGTAGTGTGTGAAAACACAAAAGTAGTTAAATGTTTAAGACATACACACATATACACACACACACTTTCCTGTATTGTATGCAACAAATATGCACACACGTTGACTTACTGGATAGATGTTAGAGTACAACTGTATGCTGATGGAGGGAACCAGAAAAGATTGAGGATGAAAAAGAGGGCAAGGTGATGGAGCCGAGAAGCAGGTAAGGGTGGGATGAAGAGCCAGGAGGAGAAGGGTTCAGTGGGAGACGCTCAGGTGGTGAAAGCAATAAGCAAGCGAAAGAAGGTAAATCAGAGCCTGGAGAAAGGCAGGAAAGGCCAGTAGGAAAGGAGGGATCATGCCAGATCTTGTTGGTTTTCTCCTTGCAGAAGTCAGCCAGACCAGGGACCCAGAGGTGAAGCCAGCACTTAACAGAGCAATCGCTCCATAACGGCTTCTCTCTAGAGAACGGCACCGAGTCTGGATCTCATTCTCCCTGATAGCTCCAATTCAGATATGAAGCTGGCGCCATGCAAATCCATTTCATAGCATTACTTCTCTCCTCCCCACTCTACCTTGCTGCTTTGCTCTCTTTTGAAACCAAAACCCTCCACCCTGCCCAGCCCCTCTAGCATCCCAAAGCCAATGCCAACTGTCCTCATTCAGCATCAGGGAGCATCAGTGCCCCCGCTGCATCACAGCGCTTAGTAACTCCTCCAGAGTCAAGACAAAAAGCTGGGGGAGAAGGTCCTTTCACAGCAACTCCATCCAGCAGTCCTGTAAGGCACTGAGACAGGGCTGCAGCTGGTCATCTCAAGGTCCCCTTTTCTGTCATGCTCTCTGGAGAAGACAGCCATACTGAGCTGAGCTAGCATTTACTTGTCAATCCAGTAGATTACAACACCACTAACAAGCTGGCTCGGAAGTGCTAATGTCACACCAGACCACATGAAAGGAAATTCCTGCCATGCGCGCAGATATCAGCCCTCTGTCAGCAGCCCCCTGCTCCCCTCCACAGAAGCGCTATTTCACACTTCCCCAGGACAAGGGAGAGGGCTCAGTGGGACACAGGAGTGCTGCATGCTGTGCCCAGCCTGAGACACCCTGCCGAGGAGTGCTCTGCACCCTGGTCATTCATCTTAGGTGCACTAGAAGAGCATTGTGGTCTAGTGAGCGGAGCAGGGGCCCACCAAACAGGTACTGAGGCAGATGTTCTCCTTGCCCATGTCTCCAGTGGACTCAAATGCTTTCAGCTGAGCTTCATCCTCCTGTGGGTGTTTGTTTACAAGCCTCTTCCCTGCTCTGCCCAACCTGGCATTTCAAATGCACACATACCAACCACATCCTGGTTTCTTTAAAGAGGAAGGGCAAGTATTTGAGAGGTGCAAGTGCTTGCATGTAGAAAATGCATATGTCCATATACTTCTGCACAGGACAAAGTGTCTGCTGCCTAATGGAAACCTACCCTATTGAATGCAGTCCTAATCCTTTCAGACATGCAGTATTGGAGAGTAACTCCCAGCCTTTGGAGACAGTGAGGAAAAAAAGATTAATTTATTCACATTTGCAAAGTGCTCTGAAACCACAAGATGGAAAGTGTCACCGGCAGGTGTACTGAGAGTCATCAAAAATTTGATTCAATGGCATTTTTAGTACCAATTTTCCCTTTCCATTATGGAAGAACAGTGCTGTCCATGTAGGCAAAACCCATTCATTCCCTATTACTATTCCAGCTGATGTACCGCTGTGATCAGAAGCAGAGAGCTCTAATATATTTAGGGTCACTAATATTGTATTTTGTCTTCTGTGTGTACTTGCTCAGATGAAAGATTTCAATCATCTCTATTCAAGGAACATTAAGAAACAGAAGATATCTCAGGTCATCCAAATCCTCCTCTCCAGAGAAGGATCATGCCTCTCCACTCCACCCTGCTTTGTTTTTATCTAATCCAATTGAGAGTGTCTCAAGCAGCAGGAATATTCTCCTTTCTCTCAGCAGACCTCAGAAAAGCCTGACAGAGAGCTGTTTTCAAGACATGTTGCCTGCATAAACAGTCTGATTTTTTATTTTAGTTAATGTGATTCCTTTGTATCTGACTAGGGCAAAGGCAGCAGCTTGTGCGAAACCTGACAGGACAGTAACAACCAGGGACCTTCTCCGTGGCTGATGCAGAGGGACAGAGAGGGACAGCAACACCAAGGAATCCAACTCTCCTTTAGCCCTGTAGGTGAATTTTCAAAGAGGAGTAGAGCCAGTAGACTATGGGTCATCTGGGCTTAATACATTTTTAATATGAAAACAAAAATAAACAAAAGCTTAACGTGGAATTTCTCCTGGTTGGTTGCCCTGGTCTTACATTCTCTCTAATCACTGCTGGCTTCTATCGGAGACAAGGCCCTGGATTAGACAAGATCTGACCCAGCCTAGCAGCTCTCGGGTGTCCCATCCACAACACTGCACTAAGGTACACCCTTGGGGCTTTAGACTCTATGGCTCCTGAGTTTGGTTTGATTAAGGGGTACAACAGACTCTGCTGGAATTAAGCTTTTTCTTTTTATTATTTTTATTTTAAATCCAACCTTCATCACAGCTTCCTCCCCACTTCAATGTTTGTTTGCTTTGGGGCTCTGCCGGTGGTGTATTTTGCAAACGACTTTTCTTTTTCATCCTTGTATATTTCTACAATTATACACATGCTTGTATAAAGCCACTTAATCAAGCATAAGGAACAAGAGTTTGCACTATTTACTGACACAGAGATCGGGAGAAACACAAAGCGTTCCCATTTAACATTTTATACATTACAAGTAACACCAAAACAGATGTAAAACAAGCCAATTCCTCATTATATTTTACACTTACCACAACAGAAATCTTTGTGCATTAAATACAACTGAAAGGGAGCTGTGGAGTTGGCATTAGCTTGACAGATGCTGAGATGAGCTGCACCAGAAAGGAATATCTCAGCCTGAAACAGTGCATGTTAAAAAGGCATCTGCTTATTGTTTGATATGTGTATTTATTTACATAGACGGCTTGCTGACACGCTGAAAGGTTGGGGAGGGTGGTGTAGGCTGGCATTTTTAACTCTCAGCAGGCATTCAGCATGCAGTTTGTTATCCTTTGGTCATGTCACAAGCTTCCATTTTATTGCCGAGTGGTGGCAAAAGGGGGGAGCGGGGAAGGGAAGTAGGGTCCCCTCTGCTGCACAGACTTGACTCCCCTCCGGGAGCTTGCCCTCAGCACACAAGGCAGAGCTTCCAAGTTCAGCCTCCACAGGCACGCTGCCCCTAGGGCTCACCCTCCAACTTCTGGGGCCTCTGTGCCTTTGATATAGACATGAGAAGAGTCCCTCAAAAGCAAGTCAAGCACAGCTTCTTGTGCATAAAAAGAGATCTTCTTTAACAAGAAAGAAAATTAATTAAGTGGGTAAAATCCCACAGGTTGGAACAGCAGCTGAGGAATTATCTTTCTATCAGGTTGGTAATGAAGACTAAAAAACCTCACACACATTAACAGCTTTATATGGGCTCATCAGCATTCCAGATCAGATGCGAAGCTTGGCATTCCCAGGAGCAGCAGATGCAGCTCCAGTTACAGACCAGACCCTGGGCAAACCACAGTTTGCCCTGCTGAAAACAGTATCACCACAGTGCCTGAAAATGAAAGGTACATACCTATCTAGCAGAATAACTTTTTCCCACAGAAATTATGCCCAGGGAGACTGTAGGTCACAACGTCAAATGCCCCAGGTTGATCTGACACACCTCCGAAACCTGTGTTTAGATACACGTGTGTGTGCGTGAGAGAGAGATTTATTCAACATGCTGGGGGGAGTGTGAACAGCCAGCACACGTCTAGGCGCACATCAAATGACACGATCAGACACTGACCAAATTGCCCTCCTTTACCCTATTGACTTCCCCACCAACACTGCTGGCTGCTTCACCATTAACACTCACAAGTACTAGTCAGTTCTAACAAAATAATGCAGATTATTTCCTATCCCCTGCTACAGAAAGACTACCTGATTTGGGTTCAATGACAAGGCGGCAAGCAGTGATGCCTTCATGTAACCACTGCAATAGGGGATCACTACCATGAAGGAGCCACGGAGCCTCACACTGAACTGTGCCAAGCTACTAAAAGCTGCATTTCAGAAACGCATTAACTTCCCTGGCTACTAAGGTAAAGCAGTCTGCCTTCCCCCCAAAAAAAGAAGGAAAGAAAAAAATAAACTACTGGCCACCTTTCCAAAAACACACCTTCAGACATCTTCCTGCCTCTTTGTTACAATTCGTATCACAAGAGTCCCATGAGGCCCCACAGAACGAAGCTTTTTACTGTGCCAGGATGAAAGAGCACCCTGCCCAAAGAGCTTGCTGCCTAAACAGACAAAAAGCAGGAAAAAAAGGAAATACTAATATTTCCCTTGTTACAGATGGGAAGTAGAAATCCAAAGAGCTACTGGTGGTAAAATCAGACAGGAAGCCAGTAACAGAACTGGGAAGGGAACATCTTCAGTCTCAAGTCTATTCCTTCAGTATGGAAATCACTGTTTCTTCCTTTCTCGTTCTCCTGGCT